AGAGAAAGATAAATGAAATCACAGAAATTAGAATTTGAAAGAAATGGAAAAAGAGCCACGTAGATATTAGAAACTGGCTATAAAACCTATGTAACAATATTACATAGGTTTCCTAGAACTTTTTTATATGCATGATTATAGAAAAGCCTTATTAACAACAGCAAATACATTGTTTTTATCATTTCTATCATCACCAGCTTTTCGAAAAGAAGTCTGAAGGTTCCTATCTCTGAAAAGACTGAGGAGGAAAACTGGGGAGGGGAGGCAGCACAATGTAAGATATAAAAGCCCATAATTTCAATAGTAAATTTTATCTAAAATAAAATTTTCAAACTATAAATTTATTTTTATAACTTAAGTCTATAACTTTCATGCCACTTTCCACTTCTGTGGTTTAGTCATCTTTTTCATATTTCTTATCACAGAAATTCAGTATAAAATACAAATTTAAAAATCTATTTTAAAAGAATTATGCCTACATACATATTCGATATTAGTTTTCCTCCCACCCTGTAATTATTTGTACAATAAGAGGATCTTGGTTCCTTATCTATCTCTCTGGTCAAACTACTAATTTCCTACCAAAAGAAATAATCTTGTATGACATCAGGAATGGTTACTATAGTGATAATTATGATGTAGCACACCTCAAAAAATTATGACTACATGAGAAATAAACAGCAGGGGCTGATCATACTAGTAAGCTTTCACATGAATTTTGTTAAAAATTAATATTGAGAAACATGAGTATACGTGTGTAGAAGTACCTGAATAAATTACCTTTTGTGTTTTCGAAGTTTTAGCAAATAGTTCACCTTTAACATTCTTAAGTCTCATGGATTTGTGCATTGCCTCACTTTCTGTTTTCTATAAAAGCATCCCACACATTATACTCTGCAAGAGATAGCTAATGATATTGGCTGCCCATAGGCTGCATATACACACAGACACATATACAACACAGTAGAGATGAAGTGTTTGGCATAATTAAAGATGGTATAGAGCATAAAGCTACAAAGGCTTTTTAAGGTTACCAATGGCCACAGTGAAAGCCAAGGCACTGAGTTTAAAAGTCAATAAATGACTTACTGTAAATGTACTTAAGAAATAATTCTCTGGTAAGTGAATTAAGAAGATAAATTATAAACCATATTTCTTTTTCTTATATTTCAACTTGGACTTTGCTTAAGGAAATTATGATGATTATCAGCTTTCTGAATGAAACTTTGGGAAATTTAAATTCTAACTCAACGTTCCTTCATTAAACATTAAAAAAGATATATTGAAATATTTTTGTCATTCAGTTCCACAAGACAATAGCATAATCTTAGTATCAACTGAGAATCTATTTTAGAAGACTCATCTCTGAAAACTTCTTTGGTATCTCTCTCCCCAAAATCTTTCGAGGGTATCCATGAACTTAAATATTAAGAACAATCTATGTTATATAATAGCTGTCCAAAATGCAACAGAGAGAAGTCAATAGACAAAATCTACTTCACAGATAATTGGAAAGAGCATAGTGATGCACAGAATAATGCAATTTTCATATCCACATCAAAATTCATAACAAGTCACACATCTATTCATTGAGATCGATTTTGAGATTGAGAAATTTCTAAAACTCCTAGAGGATGTGCTTT